TATATATATAAAAACATGTAATGGTTCAGTATGGAGGTAGTTTTTTTTACAGTGTGGGATAAGAGGCTCTGCATTTTGTCATTTCAGATACTGGCTACGTTTCAGGCTAGCTGAGATTGAACAGGTCAGCACAATGCAAATGCATACATGCACCACTCTGAGGATGCATACAGGCACTGCCAGTGGTGTAATGCAGTCAAGGCTGTTTCTAGAGGTCTGCCCCCCATTTCCTGTTAAAATATTTATTATATGCAAGTACAGCTGTGCAGTATAATTTACAAATATGCAATAAATTAATGCCACTGCTGTCGACATACATTACACATGCAGTGCAACATAAAAGATTGACAATTTAAACATTAATATTACATTCTAGTTTTCCACTTTTTAAAACATTTGAATGCAACAGAATAGAAAGACACGTCAGTGTTTGACATTGATTGTACACACAGCAGTCGAGCAACGGCTGGGTGCAGCAACACTATGTGGCCAAACCACACACAGAGTTGCAGTACATTTCAATAGTAATAATACTGCCAATACGTTAAGTTTATTTGTGACTATGATTACATTTGCTAATGCTTATTTGAAGGCTGTGCATGGTTGCCTGTAACAGCATAGCTTTTTTTTTTTTTAAATTAGAATTTTTCATCAATATGTTTGAGTGCACTGGTTCCCAGCCTAGGGGTCCTGACCCACCCTAGGGGTCACGAGACTTTTCTCTGCATTTATTTCTGTGAAGAAGATGAAATGAAATCATTGTTATGCACTTAATCACACATTTGATTATCATTACATCCTTGTGACTAGAGAAACATGTTAAAATCATTTTTTGCTGATGCGTTTAAAGAAGTCTTTTAAACTGTATGCCCTGTTTTCTTTTCATTTTTTGTGTCATTTTTTTGTTTGTTTGATTTTTGTGCTTTCTTGTATTTTAGGTAGAGACTACAGTTGAAAAATAGCCTTTTGGCTAATTTTGGCATTTTTATACCATGTTTATTTATTAATTTGCACTGTCCCTTCTTAAATAAACTAAACTGAAACTACATTATACAAGTTTTGATTATTATTCAAATAAAATAATTAAATATTAATTATAAAGATACCTGACAGAGGAAACCCATCTCTCGTGCAATATTCACAGGAAATAATCTGCTCAAAATTCATACAAATTGCTCCTTTTACACAAACTTCCTGCAGGTTTTGTGTTCAATATTTGGGCTACCTGTACAGTTGTTCTGCACTGTGATCGTTATACATTAAATAATATATGAAATATCCATTAAATGTCACTTTGTCAGGTGTCATCAGTTAACTTAATGATTAAAAGGGGGCCCTTAAGGAAAAAGGGTGGAAACCAGTGGGATATACACAGGTATAGAGGGAATTCCATCATGTTTTCCTGTCTGTTTACAGTGTACCCACCCATCAGCCAATTGGAATATATACTGTAGGAGAGTACACCCACTTCCTGCTTGGTATCCTACCCATCTACCTTATAGTACACCCACCTCATTACCTATCACTACACCACTCTGATCATTGCTTTGCTTTAATGAACCACTAGCAAAAGAAAACTGACGAGCATTGATCTATATAGCCCATTAAAGAATGTTTCTGTGTGAGTGACCAGCAATATATCATGTTGGTTAATGTCAAGCTACAACTGCAGACTCCACAGAGTGAGAGCTGCATCTACAACACAGTCTGTCAATGGGAAATACTGTTAATTAAATTATGTTCAAATATAACTATTTTACCAGGGACCCTAGGGACCCAGCTCCAGGGCATCTGGCTCTGTGTAGGACTCCAAATGTGACTACAAGTAACTATATTCCACATGAATGCATGCCACTTACACACAGGTCACTCCTCAGCTGCCCGTACTGCGCTGACACCCAAAACCCTCTCCTGTCTTCTAGGGTGATGTGGGGTTCCTCCGGGTACCGGGCTCGATACTTCTTCAAGAACCCCCCTTCGAAGTCCGCCAGAACCCCGTCCATGTCGACCAGAACCCGCAGTCTCTTACCCGAGGCAGAGGAGGAAGACATGTTTCCGCAAATCCTCTTAACCGGATCACGGAGCATAGTTTTCCCTCTTCCTAGTAGGCGTGCGGTGCCGTACAGTAACATTGTTGACCCTTGACTGAGCGGCTGCAGCTGCGGTACTGTAACTAGAGTTAACCCTCTCCAAACGGCGGCTGGAGACACTGGACAAAGTCCGCATGGAAGTCGGAAAGTTCTCTTAATACTGCCGCGGTTAAACCGTGTACTTTGTATTGTGGTGTTATTTATCTTTGAGTGAAGTTTTGTGTCACAGCCAGACAGCTGCTAGCGGTCGGTGGCTAACTTTAGCTGACAGGCTAGCCGCACAGCAGCAGGCAGGTCAAATGTGACATGCCTTTGGTCACAGTTTAATGGGACCTGTTTGCATCGTTTGTCAGTGTGTATTAACTTCCCGGCAGCGACCCAGAGCCTTTCTCAAACCCACAGCATCTGTAACATCTGGCTATTAGTGCCTCCTGAGCAACACCGACTAGTACACAGCCGGTACTGCGGCACCAAGGAGAGAAAAGCTGAACAGGGAGAACACACTGTACTACGAGCCTGCTCACTGCAAAGATATGTGACAACAACACGATGGCTCACTCCGCCACTGATTTGTGTGTGAGCCTTGTATAGGCACAAACTGCAGTTATACAGTTTTGCAAATCAAATTTTTCTCATCTTCAATAATTTGTAAACCAGTTTGGAAAAAACGTGTATGTTAATATGTTACCACCATTATTTTTATTATGATCATGATTATTTATTTATCTATTTTTTTTCATGGGTGGAATTTATTTTTGCCTAAATGTGACAAGTCATAACCAATCCTTTGTGGGTAAAATAATATTTCTGCATTTCTAAAAAGGGGTGGTTGATTGGACTGATGGCATGATCCATCAGCTGTACGTAAAATGCATGACATTTTAAATTTGCCAGGGTAAATGTTTAATTGTCTATATTTGAGTTGTGGTATTTTTTTTTCTTTTGCTCATTTTCAGTGATTGTAAATCAGTTTTATACATTTTGCATTTGCCACCAATCACAATTACAGTGCACTTCAGTATGCAGCTAGACATATGGTGGTATGGCAATGAAACAAAAAAATATTACTGTAGGCCCTATATTAAAGGTCCAGTGTGTAGGATTTAGGAAGATATATTGGCTAGGGGTGGGAGGAAAATTGATACAGCATAGTATCACACTATTTTTGTGTGGCAATATCGTATTGTTATACGGACACCAAGTACCAATTTTTTATTATATTACAAATTTTTGTAATATATATTACAAATATATATTACAAATTTAAATTAAACAATTGGTAGTATAGTAAAATACTATGATCAGTTGCTTTTCAGTTTACTAGATACATTTTGCTGTAAAAAAAATGGTTTAAGTGAGATAAACAGACTAACTAACTGTATTTTATTCGATAAAACGAGACTTGACAGAGTCTTCCTTTGGGGACATAATTCCTAGCATCTTTGTATTTTTATTCTACGTGTTTATTGTATGTGTTGTGTTCACATGTTGTTGTGCTGGGCTGCTCAAACCAATTGCCCCTTGTGGGATTAATAAAGTTGTCTGAGTCTGAGTCTGATAATTTACAGTTGAAACAAGGTAATAAATATATTTTATTGCCAGACTCAACATATTGCAACATGTTAAAAATTGTGTTAATATTGTATCATGACTTATGTATCATGATAATATTGTATTGTGGGGCCTCTGGTGATTCCTATCCCTAATATTGGCAGAAATGGAATATAACATGTTTTCTTTAATGTGTAATCACTTGAAAATAAGAATTTTCTTACCTTTGAATGAGCTGTTTGTATCTACACAGGGAGCAGGTCCTTCTCTACAGAGATCACCATGTTGCACCACCACGTTTATACAGTAGCCCACAATGGACAAACCAAACACTGGCTCTCAAACGTGGCTCTCATTCACGTTTTCGTGTCAGCCACTACCGTTAACAGCACCTCTGCAACAACTGCTTTATTCAATGTTTTTTAAGTGTTGAAATTGCCGAGTCAATTTGTTTTTGCGAGGAGGAGACCTCTGTGGATAATGTTGGTAAAAACCTCCTGAACATTTGGATCCAAAATATGATGAGCACACATTAAGATACCAGTGTGACGTTCCAAGCAGCGTAGAAGAAACACTGATATGTAGTATGAAACTGCTTTATTCAGTGTTTTTACCCATTTTAATACTGTACTGAACTGAACACTTGATGTATTTGGTGTCCAGTCTGTAGTCAGTGGATTCTGTAAAGTCAGTTACACAGGAGCTCTTACATTTAATACCATCTTCGTTGAAAACCCGGCAAATTGTACGTCATTTCCTGTATTTATTTTACTTAAAGGAAAAACTAGCACTGCAGTCGGAAATATACAACTGTAGTCCCTTTAAGATATATGACAAGGACAATAAGTTGTCAGTTCTAAATAATAAATATATTTATCAAAAATAGAGAATACGATAATACTTAAAATAAATCGTGTGTCTGGCCCTTTAAGAATCCAGTGGTCGGTTTGCAAATCTCGTTGCAGTCTGTTCTGTTTTTATGATATCGCGATAGCTTCACCTCAGTGGCGGCTGTGTGGCCCCCTGTCTTAGTCCGGACGGAGTTGTTTCTGACGTTTGAATGAAAAACAGTGCAAATTACCTCCACTTTGGACCCAGGAAATAATGGCTTCAGCCTTGGAGCAGTTTGTGAACAATGTGCGGCAGCTCTCCGCTCAAGGTAGGCTTGCTAAACTCATTCGAGTGGGAAGTATTAGCTAGTTAGCTAGCATATGCTATCCAATGCCTTGCCGATAGCTAGGCAGCCAAACTGGTCAGAGCCCTCTTTTTGCTTTATCATGTAAACACACCGCAAAAATGACTTTATGGGGCTGCGAGAGTTCTGTAAAGTATCACCAGAAGATGCGTTAGCACACGGGGACGCCTAGGATAACCGCGAACTGGGTGGTATATCAAAGAAAATGTCAAAATGCTACTTTTTGTTTTTGATCTAGAAAATAATTTCTGAGGGCTGCCCACCGGTAGTCCCGCCCTGGCCCCACATGATTGGCTGAAGAATGGAATTAACGAATGTTATTGGTTTAAAGTCAACTGTCAATCGCACTTGCATTACCTCTGTTGCAAGGCCTTGACAGGACACTTGACCGGCCGATTTATATTGAGACACTCAGCCACAGCTCGATGATCGTGTATCATTTTGTAAGTCAGTTTGTTTTCTACATTTGTAAAGAATAGCCTCTGGGCATCCGTAGACAAGAAAATTGCAATTTTATCACTAATTCGACCACTGAAACGATGGAGAAAATGCCTCAGCATACTCGGGGGAAAGTATTGCCCTCCTGTCCTTTGTGTTTTTATATTAGTTTAACCTCATCATTTACATTTCCTGTGATAAGAGGGATGTTATAATACCATGTGTAGTTTTCAGTTCAGTTAAGTCTTTGGGCATGTGTCCACAGCATGTAATAAAAATGTGTAAGTTGAAAATCATTGACATTTAATTCCAGTAGACCAACCTAATTCATTTATAAAACAGCAGGCCAGCCTAAAAGCAGCCTCATTTAAAACTAATCTACATCTAGCATTGCAATGTAATTCATTTAAGATATGAGATCTGTGTCCTTCCGAAGATCTAAAGGGTATGCAATAAGGTCTAAAGTGGTTTAATTTCCCTCTATTTTCCTGCCCCTTCAACTCCAGGCCAGATGACTCAGCTGTGCGAGTTGATCAACAAGAGTGGGGAGCTGCTGGCCAAAAATCTGTCCCACCTGGACACGGTGCTGGGGGCCCTGGACATCCAGGAGCACTCCCTAGGCGTGCTGGCTGTGCTGTAAGTATCCTGCTCTGTTCCTATTCCCATTTATTTATTGGTCTTGTTTGCCTTTGAGGTCAGTTCTGTCCAGTCTTGTGCTCTTCTACACTACCGTCTTCATGATGCTCCTTGTTTTCGCTTAATGTATCTCTAATTTGGGTCTGGAGTTTCTGTTATCGTTGTGTCTGTTGAAGGTCACATTGAACTTTTAGTGATTATTAGGGTAGAGGTGGTGAAACCTTGGAGAAAGATAGATAACAGAGAGAATGGTGAACACAATTTTGTTGCCAGTCTTTAGCTTAAAATGTGACTTGCCAAGTTGGTTGAAACAAAATAAATAATCCAGGATTGGCACCTTGAATAAAAGGTGCCATTCCCTTTCTTCTCAGCGGTATTGTGTTTGTAAAGGCTGCCTGTTGCATGTAGCATTGCAAATCTAATGCAGCCAAAAAGCAGCTCAAATCTACCTGTTGCAACTAATAATGTAGGCCTGAACTAACATTGTAACAAAGAAAACGATTATTTATTTTTAGTAAATCATGCATCATGAGTTCACTTCTGTATCACAAACCTCAAAAACTCAAGTAAACACGTTTCTATAGATACCATTGGAGCCTTTGCATATAGAGATGACCTAACAATTTAAGCCATCCAATTGTGCGTTTTCATTTTCTACCCACATGCCAGTGTGTTGTCATTACAAGTTAGAGCTGTATTATGCTTGAGTTCCCTAAAAACAATGTATGAACTCATTAAAAAGTAAGCCATCGTAAATGATCATTTATGACCCACTAGAAGTGTGTGGCGGTGCATTTCTTTATTCTTTATAGACCCTCCCTTCTGCCTGTATTTCCTTCCTTCCTTCTTATTTTGCTGTGTGTGGGATGTTCATTGCCACAGCATGCAGGTGAGGGTGGAGCTGTGTAAAGAAATACAGACAGATGCCAGACTGTACGCAGCACACATCTAAGAAGAAGCTACAAAAATGAATGGACATGGTGCCCAAAAAAATGAAGCAAAATAAAAAACGTTGCAAATGAAAATAAATCTAAGGTTGGCGTTTGATTTTGCTGGCAATATTGTTTACCATCAGTAACAATTAACCTAAATTAAAACTTAAAGGTCTTTTGCTCACCTCTATCTCTTTCCTTCCAGATTTGTGAAGTTCTCCATGCCAAACATCCCTGACTTTGAGACGCTCTTTTCCCAAGTCCAGCTCTTCATCAGTACCTGCAATGGGGAGCACATTAGATATGCAACAGACACTTGTAAGTCCAGACTAACTAAACCTGTCGCTCGTAGATGTTTGGGAAGCATGTTTGTGCCCTGCTGGTGGTTTTTATGTTGGACAGGTTTTCAGTAGAACACAAACAGATTTCTAAACTGATAAGTGTTTCTTTGCATATTGTGTTGAGAGCCTATAGTCTGCTAAAATGTGTTACACGTTATCTGAATTATGCCCACTCTTTCTCATGCAGGTACTTTACTATATAAAGATTTACCAAGCTGTATATCAGATACTGGCTTTTTCCTGTGTCTGCTGACAAGCTCTCAAGTGTTTTTTTTAGTAGCAATCAAAAATAAAACATGCTGCATTGTTGCTATGGTGTGGCATCTGTTATGTAGATTGCAACGGGCAGGTATGTTGCTGTAGCTGTGGTAGTGCTCAGCATTTGGCACAATTAAACCTTTGAGTTTGAGGGGAAACATTGTATGAATGTATGTGTTTGCCCAGGTCTATGTTTGTGATGCATAAACTGCAGTGAAGTGTGTCCTGTGTACCCACGTGAGCAGCACTTTACACTTAACTAACCACTAAAAGCGTAAATCAATAATTTAACACCTTCCTTCCCGTCTGCTTCCTCCCACAGTTGCTGGTCTCTGCCACCAGTTGACAAACGCCCTTGTAGAGCGGAAACAGGTAAGACTGTGGATTCTGACTTCAGTGGAAGTGAAATGCCGAGCTAGTTATCATAACAGAGCTTTTATTCAGAAGCAAAAAATGTTTTCACTCCCAATAAATCAACAGTCATTGCTGATGTTTGATAATGAAGGGGAATAGATTTTTTAAATGACTAATTTAGTGCATAAAATGTAAAAAGCTAAAGCTGGATTAAATATGACAGAAAGAAAAGCTGCATTTTTTTTTTTACAGCTCTTTTGTAAGAGTCATCAGTAAAATGTCTCCATATCCTCGCTGGGAAACAGTATTTTCCTCAGTGATTATATTACAGATTATGCAATTTAAAATGCTGTTCTGGTTACACAAAACTATTTCCATTTATGACTCACACAGCACTAGTGTGCAGTGATGTAGTTGCTAATGAAGACGACAAAGTTTAAATATCATTTCAGAATACAAATGGGATTTATTTATTTATTTTAGAGTGGTGTCTTATTTCTCAGGGTGCCTTTATACCTATTTGGTTCAGATAAATCAAACTTGGATCCATTTGCCAGATTTCTATGTCTCATTTTGGCCCGTGTAAAAGCTGTCAATAGAGCCCTGGTGCGGACCAAACAACTGAACCCAGATTGTTCATTTGTGATCTGAAAGCAAACGAACCAACCACATGAAATCTTATGATAATAGATATGTGTTTTTAACTTGATTTTAAAAGACAAACTACCTAAAAAATCCGTCTGCTGATCGAGAAATCTGTTCACAAAGCTTTCTTACACTTTACTTGCATAAGGCCATGTATACAACCTATTTATGCAAACCATTTGGTTACCATGGTAACACATATGCACGTCAGCACGGGTTATTTCCCTGATTATCAGGTCAAAAGCTGCTAATACTGCTGTGCTTGTGTCTGACTCAGTATGCTTTGTCTGTTAATTAAATTCAATCAATACGGTCTCTACCTGTAAGTCATAATGCGCAACATGCAGTCAGATAGTACCAATATCGTTCTTATTCAGTTAGTTTTTCTTCAAGAGCTCTTTGTGACACTTAAAAAACATAAATATACACACCATTAAAGTGCTGCATAAACGTCTGTCAGTCACAGGAATTTGATTTCCTCATGTGGGTCCTGATCATGCAGGATGACAATCATCGAACCAACGAGTCATCTGCTTCCATTAAAGACTTCCTGCGCAGTCAAACATAGTGTGCATAGTGTGTGTATTCACTGATGTAAACAGACTACCAGCTCCAAAAGTTGTAGGGCCTCGGACTTAAATCCCAATTCTGAACAGCACTAGACAAATCCTTACATATCACTCTTGTCTGTGTAGTCCAGTAGAGACAACAGAAAAACACCAACATCATCCCACCTGAACAAGAGTGTTAATGTTGGTGTGTTTTGTAATGTTTTTGAGCTTTGTATGATGTCCTCGTTACTGTGATGCGTCCTCGTCAACATGCCTGTTATGTGTGTGATGTTTTAAAGGACACCATGCAGTGTAGCTTGTGAGTGTCTGAAGCTATCTGTAATGCCATACACACAAAGCTGCAAAAGCAGTGTCCCCTGGGCCATAGTGGAATTAGTACATTTTAACGTTATTTTCCCCCACTGTCCGAAAAGACATGGCCCAAATGAGTCATCCCACTGCTCCTACGCCGCTGAGTCTCCGCATCCAGGAGTAGCATGTTTTCCTTTTCTGTCTCGATCTAAATATTTTAATGCATTTTAAAACGTGGTACAGGCCTGGACCGTTTTCAGTGTGTTTGGAAGTCTCAGAGAAGCTGCAGCTGAATAACTAACTGCATGTTTTTTTCTCCCTCTGACAGCCATTGAGGGGTGTTGTCGTCCTAAAACAGGCAATAGACAAAATGCAGATGAACACAAACCAACTTACCTCAGTTCATGCAGACCTGTGTCAGGTGAGTCACTGTATGGCTTCATGATATAACTTGCATGTGTAATTTTGCCACAAAATGTGATCTATTCAGCAGTTATCTTGGTTGTTTTCCATCTCCTCCTTCTATAAGTGCATACTCGTTGAACATGCCATTTAAAGGGTTGTGTTAAATAATTCAAACACAAGCTTAGTCCCAGCACAGTTCCTTCCCTTGTGACTGTCCAGTGTAATGCTCTAAGTTATCCTTACTACCTGTCTCCTCGCAGCTGTGCTTGTTAGCAAAGTGCTTCAAGCCCGCCCTGCCCTTCTTGGAGTTGGACATGATGGACATCTGTAAGGAGAACGGAGCTTACGACGCAAAGCACTTTTTATGTTACTACTACTATGGTGGCATGATCTACACGGGCCTCAAAAACTTTGAAAGAGCACTGTATTTTTATGAACAGGTACTCTCACACTTCTTAAACACTCTGACATGCATGCGTTTAATAACATAGCAAAATGGTTTCTGCGTTATATTTGTGGTGATCATATGTGCGTCATTTTCTCTTGTCAGGCAATAACCACTCCAGCCATGGCAGTGAGCCACATCATGTTGGAAGCCTATAAGAAATACATCCTGGTGTCACTCATTCTCCACGGCAAAGTGCAGCCGCTGCCCAAATACACCTCACAAATAGTAGGGAGGTTCATCAAGGTAAGGACAAATAGCCAGGATGGAATGAGTAGTATAGAGGTGCATTCACACAGAACGTGAAGCAAATTTTCGTCTTGTGTTACTCGTGCAAACACTGCTGCTGGAGTGTATTTGCAACTTATGAATATTTGCCCTTAAAAGCTGAACTAAGGGTTGTGCAAACTCACTCAGGAAGGCAGCTAACACTAACTTAAGTGTTACCTTGGTTCATAGCTGGAATCAAATAATGTAGACACGGAGGCTCTGTGTTCTGAACCAGTGTGAAGCAAGGCAGCAAGACTCTATGATTTTGCTGCACATTACCGCTTCACTCTTTCGTTATTTACCTTCCACAAATTCCACACCATTTAGTCCTATGGCTTCACTTACTTTTCTCCGAGCCCTCACCGCTTTTGTGCTGTCTCTGTCGAGTTGTAAAGCTCCAGGTGCCTACAGGGGGTGACAATAAGTTTGTCCTCCATTTGTGGTTCTCAGTTTCTTCAGGAGAATATCAACCCGATCTGAGCACTGAAAGGTTTTTGTGACACGGTGTCAGGCCTTGACTATGCATGTAATCATGCTGTGCAAAACATTTGAACACACCTTTAGGGTTTTGCTGTCTTGGTTAGTGATTACATTGGCAAGCATTTAGGTAACCGGATTTTAAGCTGATGCAAGCCAGCTCATTATAATTTTGTTAGAATAGCCAGATAAAACTAGTCAAGAAATGTACACTAGCTAAAACTATTGCAGTCTAATATAACAAGTTTTTACTGTTTTTGTCTAAACTATTTTAGACAGTTGTTTTATGGTCATTGTGGAGAATGTAGTTTGTGCTGCTGTTGAACTGTTTTGCGTCATTCAAGAGTTAAACAATAAATCTCACTCGAACCAATATCGTGATGTAAGAGAAAGCATTTTTCAAATCCCAAAAGTTGTGATTAAAAATAACAACAACAACAACAACAACAACTGAGTTGGAAACAAGTGACACCGTGAACCTTAATGTGCACACTTGCACACACACGCTGCCCTTACACCACGTGACATATGCAGTGAGAGTAGATGAAGAAAACAACTTGTAAATGCCACACCACATGTAAGTTTTGATGCTTGCAGTACTAGTACCATGTGACAATGGCCAAGGCCGGTTAAAATGCAATCCACATGGTTACATATTACATTGTTGCTGTAGCAAGTGTGTGGTCAAGTGAGACAGAAAGTTGGCATTGGCGATTAAAGCAGAGAGTCCATGTTCTTACTGCCACAGTCTGTAAGCTAAAGCAGGAACAGTTAACAACATGTTAACAATGTGGAGAATGGTAGAGCCATAGCCAGTTTGCAAGTCAGTTTGTGTGATTTGTTTCTGTTACTGACTGGATATCAGTAATATTAATATGTATCTTTCATATATTAATGTTCAGATAGGCCTGTTGTTCTGTAGTGCTTTATGTTTTTTTTCTAAGATTTTATTTAAGTCATATATTACATGTTGACAAGGCTTGAAGTTAAACATTTGTAATATTCTGTTGGTGTGATTGAAGGTTTTTGTCATTCAAAAGCTGATTAGGTATTAATTTATGCATCACTTTATCTCATTTCCTACATGAAAGACCAGTTTATATGTTGGCTGTATACAATGTTGTGTTTGTCTTACTAGAGCTGCATGTGCCTTTGAAATTATAGACCCTCAAGCACCCAAAAGGTTTTGCCATCATGCAAAGCCCTTTGCTGTTTATCTAGGTTTCATGTGAGGAGTCAAATAGGTTACCGTTACCTTCATTGGTATTATCAAGTAACCTGTTGTTTATGATATAATCAATCTTTTTTATTATAACAAAGTCCAAAGTGCTTAGTGAACTGGCTGTAAATACCTAGACTGAGTGAATGATGAATGAATGTGCCACTGACTAACTGGTGTTCTCTTTGTCCCTCCTCTTCCTTTTCTCTTACTGCTGCCTCTAGCCCCTGAGCAACGCATACCACGAGTTAGCTCAGGTTTACACCACCAACAACCCGGCCGAGTTGCGCGGTCTGGTCAACAAACACAGCGAGACCTTCACACGAGACAACAACACAGGCCTGGTCAAACAGTGCCTCTCCTCCCTGTACAAGAAGAACATCCAGAGGCTAACAAAGGTGGGTGTGCCTGCGTGTTTGTGTGTCCTTGTATTTCTTTATTAATTCAAGACAGATGTTTTCACAAGAAAATATGAGTGAAATCGGTCCAGCCCTCGTCGCTTCATGTGGTGGTTAAAGCTGTAGTGTACATGTAGCATGTAGCTGTTAAGTTCAGCTTATTTGACCAGGTGAAATCAATACCTTTTTTTTTTTTTTTTTGTTTAAGGACGCAGTTAAATGAGAAATTAATTTTCCCAGTTTTAATCAAGTATCACTGTGTGTTTATTGCAAATGCAAAACCTTTCTTTCCTTTTCTTAAACAATGAGTCGGCGGTCTAATTTGTTCATCTCTCCCTCATCCTCCTGATCCAACAGTGAAGGAGGTGTGTGTGGAGCCAGCAGTCTGCTCCACTGTCGCTCTGTGTTGCACTAAACTCTAAGCCCACACACTTTTTAGTGATTGCCAAATGCCAAGGATTTGATTTAAGTCCCTGTTGTAACTGTACTAAAATATCCCGTTTCACTGGGAAATGCGTCATAGTACAGAAGCTGCAGACGCTCTCAACTTTGATCTGAGACATCTTGGAATGTCTCTCAGTCTTGCTCTGCTACAACTGTGCTGCTGCACCTCATTAGCATTGACAGTGATCCAAATGACAGGAAACATCCAAAAAACATGGGTGACTGAAGGCAGACACACATCTGACAGCCAGCTGCTTGTTTGGAGAGAGAAAAACTGATATGAATCAAGAGCTTGTTGTCTTCAGCTACAGCTGGGTAACATCACTTACCCAGCTGTAAGTGGGTAAAATATGAAATATCTTAATGTTTTGGTAAATTTGTTTTTTTTTTCTGCGGCTTTAACGCTTTGCTGCAGTTAGCTGATGCAATATTTTGCTTTTAATTGAGCAGTTTAAACTTCATTGAACCAAATTCAACGATCCAACACTCAGCTAAAGAAAAGTAACTGCGCATGAGTTCATTAGATCCTTCAGTCTGATATTTTTTAAAACCACCTCCTGTTTCATGTGCCCCCTGCAGACCTTTCTGACGCTGTCCTTGCAAGACATGGCGAGTCGAGTGCAGCTGTCAGGCCCCCAGGAAGCAGAGAAATACGTCTTACACATGGTAAGTTGGTCCAGAGAGTATAAAAGCTGGCAAAGTCAGCATGTCCAACATGTCATCTGTACACCTACTTAAAATCAAAAGGAATGTTTTAATCACTGCATATTAGGTCTGCTATTTAATGGAGAGGGGTGGGTATTATGAAATATTATGATGTTGAATATATATTTTGTACAATATGCTGTCAGTATTTTATCAGCTTTACAAAGCAGTTCTTACCTTGGTCATTTAACACTTCTAAACTTGGCTAATTAAGCAGGTTTTTCTTTTATAGACTTAGAAGTACAAATTTTGCATCTGACCTTCTATCAAGCAGCAGTTTACCATTGATCTGTAATAGCAGTTTTCTGTTTAATTTTCATCATGCTCCTCTTTATGCTTCTGTGCAGATTGAAGATGGTGAGATCTACGCTAGCATTAACCAAAAGGATGGCATGGTCTGCTTCCACGACAACCCCGAAAAATACAACAACCCAGCAATGCTCCACAAAATTGACCAAGAGGTGAAGACGTCCAACTCTATTTACGGTGTCGTCCTGTTATGATGTTATGTATGAACCCTGACAGTATGTTTGGTGGTAACTACTTTTAAAGTGAAGCTGTCGTTTCTCTCCTTTCAGATGTTGAAATGTATAGAGCTGGACGAGAAACTAAAGTCTATGGATCAAGAAATCACAGTAAACCCACAATTTGTGCAGAAGGTAACAGCATCAAATATATAAATATATATTTTTTTGTTATTTGGACATTGTTTTTTGCATGTGTGGATGCATTTTGCTTTGTGGAATCTTAACAAATATGTCCTTGTGAGTGTCATAGTGTGTACCTTGTGCCTTAAGGCTGGATTTACATATTTTTACGAGTGCATTGCCTGTTTAAAGTTGCCTGGAACAGGCCGACTGCTTGGCCTCTGGTATTGCTGCTTTCAGCTTTCTCGAGAGCCGCTCATCCAAACAGCTTCACACTCCTCACTGAATTTTCTTGGTTCCTGAGGAAATACACCTGCCATGACATCACTGCATCCCCTCGCAATAGTAGAGTAGTAGGATTAGATACCAAACTGGGTAGTTGTAAGGGTACAGATTGAGGCCTAGTCCACATGGACCCATGTACTTCTGAAATCGTGTATTATTCTATGCAGTTTGGCTGTTTGGCCACACGCAACTGCACTTTTGGGCCCAAAAAACGGAGTCAAGGGTTAAGTTTTTGGAAGACTCCGGGACCAGTGGTTGCATGTAGATAGGATAACCGCAGTATTTTATTACCTGTCTCCATTGTTTGACGTCAGAGCAACGGTAAATAGCTAGTGAAATGGCAGACCAAACAAACATGCTGGTGCTAACTTTATTTGTGAGCGTGCTATCTGCTCTCTTTGGATGGCATATCCAGCTGCTCGACCTAACGACCAACGAAGGAGGCTGCTCCTGTTGCTAGCTACCCCAACTACTAGGGGTGTAATGATACATTGATCCACATCGATACATCGATTCATTGATTAACGATCCGATTATATAGATGCAAAATGAAAACATCAATCCATATCGTCATCTTAAAGATACACATTTATTTTGAAATTCACATAGCACGTCTGTGTCACCATTTCTGGGTAAGCGCGCCCCTGCTCAAACAACAAACAGAGCTCAGAAATAAAATTCTCAAATCATATTCTAGTTGTTTTTGTGAGTTGATGTAAATGATTGTGTTAGATGGGCATATGATATCGCGTCATATCAATCGCAGGCTCCTGAATTGAATCGAATCAAAATTGTATCGTGGCAGACTTTGTGATATCGGCAAACATCGTATCGTCATCCAAACAAATCGATATAATATTGTATCGCGATGAAGCTGGTGATTTACACACCTTCCAACTACACTACCACGAAAGCAGCGACGGGCCTGCCAACGGAGGTTCTGGATTGACTCTGACTTCTGATTGGTTAAAAATGGCCTTTCTGTTAGAAGTTACATCGCCACCTACTGTTTTGGCATGTGTATTACATCACTTGGCAGCGGGTTTTGCGGTTTCGTGTGGATATCTTATATATTACACCATAACTTATTTGTCACACCACTCGTGCGGATGAATCTTTTTGGAAACCGGACCCCGAAAAACTTCAGTTTCAGAAGTACAAGGGTCCGTGTGGACTAGGCCTGAATTACTGCGGGACTACGAGTATGTATTAACGTTGAATCCATTGGTGGCAAGTGGCAGTACCTAAGAGCGCATCAGTGTGAGAATGCTGGGTTTAGACAGGAAGTGGAAGTGCAGGCTACAGTGCTCAGCTGAGCCCCCGGGTTAAACTTCAGACAAAAGGGGGGGAAGCACCCACGGCTGGGAAATGCTTCCCTACAAGCCTAACACTACAGTGCTTCAGCTATTTCATTTAAATCATAGCCTCATATCACTGCTAGACTAGCTGGCACACACACACACACACACACACACACACACACACACACACAAGCAAGCAGACAGATATAAAAGATACGCTCTTTATGTCATTAGAAAGGAGCAGAGGAGCAGAATTTTAGTTTCCTAAGCCACCCCTGCAGCTTGTTCAGAAATTCAATTTTTGTTGTTAAAGTAAAGGCACTGTTGGGTACCTGTACCTAATTGCAGTTAGCAGTATCGCTTCAAATGTAAACATTCCCAACCCTGTACATTATACGCATCATTTGGGTGTGAAAGCTCACACCAACATTTTATGGCCTCAATGAAGTCAAAGCATTTAACCCCAAAGTTACATTGCTGCAGCTGTAAATGTTTGAGTTTGCTACAGTCTAACATCTCCGACCTTTCTTCTATTCTTGAATTTACTGTAGTGAGTGACTTGGAGCGAGCTGTACCCAGCATGTCCTGCGGCGGTGTAACAGTTAATAGGGGTCTCTCAATACACTGCACAGTGTGTACTTCTGGTGGTAGATACACACTTCTAATAAACGTGTCCCCTAGATCTCAAGAGCTCGCATTCAACACTGCACTCCCTCTGGTCCTCAGCAGTGCACCGATAAGTGTGAAGTCGAATGGATGAACGGTTGTCGAGAAAATGGAAGGACTCAGATACAGAGACAATTTCATTTTAGTTGGATTCATGGTGCAAAGATGCTTTATATGTGGGGGAGTTGAATTAAAGATTGTAGTACAACAGTAGCTAGAGTTGTTGGAAGTACAAAAAAAAGAGACAGTTGTACAAGACATGTCCTTTTTTGTATTTAGGTGTTACAAACGCATTGGCACTACATATATATCATCAAAAACAGAAAGAAGTCGATGGATATGTCTTCAGGGCTTTGTTCCAAGAAGCAGGTTTATTGAGAGGATCAATTCTCTGAGCGCCATATAACATTCCCTCAAATCTGGAACATGGACGAGTGTAAAAAGATCAGTTATGGGTTTTCTCAGCAAAGAATTCATTCGTAACCCTCCTGCTTCTTTAAAGAGGTCCAAGATGTAACAGAACTGTTAGCCGTATTATGGAAACGCAGCAGGAACCGGTTTCTCCAGTTGTCAGGTCAGGTAACATTCTCAACGTGTGACATGTGTTTACTTTCCAGAGTATGGGATCGCAGGAGGACGATGTTGGTAGCAAAACATCAAGTTATTCCTGAGGGGCCTTGGACAGGGAGAGAACGCTGCCACCACCCAACACGTTCTTCCCCAGGATGAGTTGGATTTTTTTAAAAGAGGAAAACAAACAAACATTCTATTGCATAAGGACATTGGTCAAGGAAAATCTAATTGTGTGGAATGATGATAAATTTGGTTATTCTTTCTTCACAGTGTCTTAAGGATAACAAATGATCCTTACAGAAAAGGAAAAAGATTACAATTTTGTCAGTGTTTTATTTATCAATGTTCAGGTTGGAGCGCCACTGCTACATTAACAGAAACCACAATAATAAAAACTGGACTTATTTGTTCCAAACATATGTGTGAATAATCTCACTGTTTGTATTGGTTCTGCTGCATGATGGCCGTAACAAGAGGGCATTACATGAGGTAAAAACATCTATGGCTGACGAGGAATAAATCTGATATATTCTACATTTGTAAAGACTGCAATGATCATTTCCCTCTCACTCCTTTTCGGTTAGAATGTAGCTGTCATCAATAGCAAATCTGTACACATGGACATGCCCTTGACCAAACTCGGCACAATGGAGGAGTCGTTCACAATCTGGTGCACTGTTTTGTTTTGTTTTTGTTTTTTCCTTTTTCTTTTTTTGTTTTTTTAGGTTGGATCCACTAGAGGTCGCTAGAGCACTGTATAGAAAACCGTTTTGACAGCTTGTTATTATTACAAGAGGTGAAGTCAACAGATGAAACCAAACTGTCATGTCATTTGGGAGCTTGAGCTTTGCGATTGTGGATCTGTTAATAATAAATTGTTTAAGAATATAGTGCTGGGTTTCATGGCTTTGTGAAAAGATTCTCATCCCTTTGCTTCTACGTGTGCTGTGAGGGTGAATTTACAATTTCCATCCACTATTGATTGTCACATTGTAACGTTCTTGATTGATACAGTGAAGCTGATTTATGTTTCAGCCAATGAGCGCCCTTATTCAGGCGGATGTGGTGTACCGGAAAAAAGCGCCAATCACAACGCAGCATCCACTCCATAGGGGCGGGACTTAACCGCTAAAAAGAAAGTTGGCACACGCCAATCACACGCATCACTCGGCTCTGATTGGTCAGCGGGTATGAATGAGGTGGGTCTTAACGACACACCGTGTAAGCTACTGTTGAAATTCCAGTGCTAACCAACTTTAGCCAGCTTGCTAACATGTAATTCAGCGAATTTGAAGAACTACACTTACAATGCAATACTAGATTTATAGGCATAAATAATATCTCATTTCCAACAGAGTAATACCGGAAAAATCGTCTTAATGTTTGCTACTGCGCGTGTCTCCGCTACTGCAACCAGGACATGTCCAGTTAGCCCGAGCGCAGCAATCGCTGGATAACGAACCTGGCAAGCTAACCAGCCAGCCCGTCTCTACTGGGTCTGCGTTGAGGGATTTGAACAGGTTTCGTCGCCCAGAGGACAGTGAAAGCCGGATGCTGTGACTACCATGAGTCCCGCAGGCTGCCCCCATGTCAACGGCTTCAAAGTGGACAACTGGAAGCAGAACCTGAGAGTTATTTATCAGTGTTTCGTGTGGAGCGGTTCAGCCGAGACCAGAAAACGAAAGGTAACAAGTGACAGAGGAAGACGAGTGCTTGGAAGGGACCCTAACGTACGCCAGACTGTGTGTGTTTCTGTGTGTGTGAGCTGGCGTCGCATGCGTGGACAGTTCCCCGCCCTTCCAAAACAACACGAACATCCGACACCCTGAATGCCAAAGTGCTGTTTACTCTCACTCAAATACTACCCACGCTTTAAGTCTAGTTCCCCCTTTGTGTGGGGCTTGAACTCGCCTGAATGCCAGCCTCAACACCTGGCAGACCCCGAAGCAAACTATCACCCAGTTAACCCCCGCCAACGTTAGCTTACTTCAAAGCTAGGGACCGCATAATAGATTAGAAAGCTGATGTGCTTGTGTTTGCATTGGCACTGCGCCTGCAGTGGCTCCACTTCCTTCCACCAGCAGACCGCAGGCCAGGATTACACGGTGGTATTTCCTCGCTTAGGAGGAATTAATTGATTAAAAATCAACTAACCGTCCTCTCTACTTGTCATCCAGGAAACTCAAAATGACACAGATGCATCATTGCTATCTTTGCACTGCACGACAGCATCAATAAGGGACTGTACTGTACTTATCAGAGGGAAAGGGGAGGCAGGGTTGTGACTTTTTTTTTTTCTTTTCAAATCTACACCGTCCCCAAAGCTGCAGATATTTTCCCTCAATTCTCCTTGAGTGACTGGGGGAAATTGCATGACCTTCCCTCCACCATATGTAACCATATTTTTTAATATTCATATCAAATGTAGGTAGTATTGGGGACAATGCAATGAGCAAACAGCCCAGGAGTGAGCTATCCACAGAAAACAACCAGCTAATTTCTTAAGCACAACGCAAATGATGTGTTGTAGAATGTTTGAAATTTGAAAATTTGATGATAATTTATGTTTTTACAGTTTCTAGCTAGGATAAATAGTGTGATTTTGGCAATTTTTGATGAAAACATGCCTTTCAAAGCCACCAAAGAGATTCAGGGTTTAGAGGGAATGTAAAATAAATACAAAATACAACCATTTAAAATTTTCAACCAGCTTTCTATCAAAACAATGTGGGTAACCATCTAACCAGTGTGTAGATAACACATTTCCCTCGCAAGCGAAGAGGCCATTAACCGTCAGATGACGGGGATTGGTAAAGAACGGGCCGACTTACGAGAGAATCGCCGAAGGACTGACTAGCCGCGGCTTCCCTCCCACGTCACTGGTTACGTCACACGCTGAGCTACATGTTTTGATATTTGCTCACACCCCCCATTGCCCCGAAAAAGGCGCATTCTGTATAAACAAAATTAGGCAGGCAGCATTTTGCCGCACTCCCCGATTTTGTTTTTATACAGAAGTGGAATACGAGACAGACCGGCCTCTCTACGTCTCTCTCAAACTCACACTGAAATCTGAAAACGAAACTAGTCGGTGATCAAACATATGTCAAGATTATGGTACTGCATTCACTACTCCTCCCCTACAGTGTTTTTAGAAATATATTTTAGTGTCGTGTCTAGCTGTAATAGCAAGAGTTTGTCAACAGGAAGTGGGCAGTTTTCTGCCTTTCAAGCAAAAGCATACTTTTTCGCTTGTGGTGTATCACCATTTTCTTCAAAGTATTTGCATCTTTCTACAGCATAGACATTCTCATCTTTCCAGCAGCAAAGTGCTTCTTTAAAGTTGTATGTTCCTCCCCTAAGGAAAAAATGATTTAACATGCCTCCCTCGTTTTGCATCACCCCCCTGCCCTCTTATAAATAATGAACTGTCCCTAAGGTTGACTGTTAAAGCCATCGCCAGTCAGCCTCTCTTTCACTTTCTCTTTCTCTTTCAGATATGCGCAATATTAGCATGTTGTGCTCGTATCTGCAGTGTGTGCCTACATACATCGTGCACTCAGATGTGCTCTGGGACAACCCCATGTCCCCTGTCATCTGCTACGGGATCAGTGGGAGCTGGTATTCCAGGAGGCATGTTTACTGAAATAAATGGTGAAATATTTGCAGGGTCTCCTCCTGCCATAATTGCCTGGTTCTCTGCCCCTGCTCCCACCCTAACCTGAAGAGCAGACAAGGCTGGCAGAAAGGCTCACATTCCTCCTGCGCATTGCCTCCCTGTGGCACAGCATTTTTATTGATCGCGGCTCAGTTTTCCACTCAGATGCGCTCATGCCTCTCTCAGGAAACCAATGCAGCAGGCAGTTAAATTCTGAATTCCATTTACTATTTTTTTAATGGGAGACTTACTCTGAATCAGAATGGCTCTAAAGATCGTGATTAGAGATCTTTACAGGGTTTGGGGAAGACGATGATGGATTTATTAGTCATATGTTCTGTTTCCAGTCAAACCTTAGCTCCAACATATGCTTCAGTTTGTTTTTGTTTGCATGGAAGAAAATCTCAGCACCCATAAGCTTATCACACGTCATTAGCCTCTGAGGAAATGCAGCAGGTTTACCCAAATATTCCAGTCTAGCTGTTGCTTCCACTATCCATTCCCTCTGGTTAGCTGTATCGGGGCAACAGAGGATAAAGACAAACATTGCGTATCCCCCACAATCCTAAGAAGAAACAATTGTTTTTATGTAAGTTTCAACAGCCCCCACCCATACCATCATTCACTCTCCACTCCATGCTGACCATTGATGCTGATCAACACTCAGTCTGCATCACACTGACCTTCAGACGCAGATTGAATTCTAAGCATTTGTTCACCTTGACAATTCAAAGGCTCCGCTCTTTGGTTGGCTGCCATGTGAATCACAGAGGTGTCTAATCACATCTGCATGACGGCTGCATTGGATTTTTTTTTTCCTCAAGACATTGCGATGGAGAATGACTGGAGCCTTGCGTTCTAATTCCTCCATGCTGTAACGATAAATTAGGCCACGTGTAAATTCGTGATCTTCATGTTTCATTTACAAATAATCGCACTTCATCAGACAGGAAGAGCTGTGTTTGTGTGCACCAAGCCACCGTATGAGTCAGCCCCACTCAAACTCTGAGCTTAGTGCCAGAATCAGTGCTGCTTTTCTACTGAGTCCTGTAAAGGCTGTCGTCTGTTAGCCTGCACCATTGCTGCTGCCTCTGGTCAGTTCAGCGACACAAAATGGAATCATTGTGAAAGAGGTCCAGGGGGTCGTAAACTCGAAGCTGGCGGCAAAAAGACAGAAAGTCAGTGAGATATTTTATATTAGCTCAGGGTCAGTGTACTCCTGGCACTACCAGCTGACTTCAGTTACATTATTAAAGGAGCAGTGTGTAAGATTTAGCGGGATTTAGTGGCATCTATTTGTGAGGTTTGTGTATTGCAACCAGCTGAAATTACTCTGGTTAGAATTTCTTCAGTATTCATTGTTCAGGAGGTTTTTACCAGGAGCTGAATTATTGTCAGAGGTCTCTTCCTCTCCTCAACAAATGGACCCAGTGATTTGACCCCTTAAAAACACTGAATGAAATATTTTCATGTTAAAATAATCAGTGTTTTCCTTACACTGCTCATCACAGAGGGGATGCTAACTATGGTGGCTGAGGCGAAAATGCGAATGGCCCTATCTAGAGCCAGTTTTTGGTTTGTTTGTTCTGTGCTACTGTAGAAACACGGCGGTGCAGTAAGGTAGACTCTGGACAATTATCCACTCCTCACGTAGATATAAACGGCTCATTCTAAGGTAACGAAAACACGCAGATTCTTATTTTCAGGTTATTATACATTTTAAAACCATACTTATCATATTACATTCAAATTCTGCCAGTATACCCCCCTAAATCCTACATTCTGGACCTTTTAAGATAACGACCTATATTCATAAATTTTCTTTTATGATGAATCTGTTTTTTACGTCTGGAATCTCCCATCTACAACGGGCTTGAGACGCGCCC